CTTTTGTGGGTGAACTTGATCATGGACACATTGGGTGCACTGGCTCTGGCTACAGAGAAGCCCACCAAAGAGTTGATGAAGAAGCCACCTGTTGGTCGCACAGAGCCACTGATTACCAATATCATGTGGAGGAACCTCCTAGCTCAGGCTTTTTACCAGGTTGCAGTACTCTTGATCGTACAATTCAAAGGAGAATCAATCTTCAGTGTGACTGAAGCAGTGAATGACACCTTGATCTTCAACACTTTTGTGCTCTGCCAAGTTTTCAATGAATTCAACGCAAGGAAGTTGGAGAAGAAGAATGTGTTCAAGGGTATTCATAAGAACAAGCTGTTTTTAGGGATCGTTGGAATGACCATTGTTCTTCAAGTGCTGATGGTTGAGTTTCTAAAGCGGTTTGCAGGTACAGAGAGGTTGAACTGGGAACAATGGGGTGCCTGCATCGCCATGGTTGCTGTATCTTGGCCCATTGGCTGGATTGTCAAGTGCATACCGGTGCCACAGAGACCTGTTTTCAGCTATCTCAAATGGAAGAAACGCATATAATGCTTCAAATTTTTTTTCATTCTTTAAACATATGCTTGCATATCCTATAATTTGTTTCAGATTTCTCTGTTGGAGCTATGGCATGAAAGTTGAAAATGCAATCAAATGAAATCTGCTACATGATGCTGCACACATGACTGCACAGTAGCTGACAGCAGCATGGAGCTTTAGATGGGTAACAAGAGATGATAGAAAATTTCATCATTTTAGTCAGTGGTTTAGGTAGTTAATAATTATTGTATTAAGTAAAAAAATATTATTATTTTATGTGTAACGTCCCTCTAAAAAAAGGAAGGAAGAAATTGATGAAAATTGAGAAAGAGAAAGCATGGTTTCTCCTCTCCGGTTGGGTGAATGTCTGCACCCTCCCATGTTTATGGCTTTATGTTTTATGTTATGTTGTGTTGTTTTTGCTATAAATAGCAAAATATCAATTGAAGAAAATGGGTTCCAACCTCACCAAAAGAGGGAACTTCGGGTGTCTCTACTTCTCCTTCAAGTCCTCTCTCAATCCCCCCTTCTCCTTCCTTCTTACCACCCAAAATCCAACATGGTATCAGAGTTGAATTCTTGAGGGATCTGTGAGAGTTTGTTTTTTGAGGGAACACCAGAAAAAAAACCCACCTTTCTCATTGCTTTCAAACGGTTCTTCATGTGAAACCCCTCTTGCTTGGCCAAAATCTTGCAGTTAAAAAAGCTGTGAAGATGAAGGCATATGTTAGTCCCACCATGGGAGATGTCAAGGAAAGGAAAACTAGATTCAAAGATAAGGTGTTCATGTTTGTTTCCAAAATCAGTCCAAAAGGCAAATCATGGTTGATGGAATGGGAAGCTGAGCACAAGAACTTTGTTTCATGGTATATTCTACATCCATCTTTCACGTTTGATATGGATATGTTTTGAGTTTTCCCTAGAAAACTCTTCATGGATGTTGCTTTGATGTTCCAAACTCCCATGGCTTCATGGCAAAGAATGTTTGATGGAGATGACGGCAAAGGAAAACTGAGCACAACATCTCAGTTTCATTGTGTGTTCTTCTACCATCTTTTATGTTTGTATTTCTGAATGTTATGAGTTTTTTTCATAAAAAAAAACTCGTCATGTTTATGTATTTGTGAATTCCATCGCTTTATGGCAAAGAAGTTTGGTGGAGAAGAAAAAATAACAACTCCATAATGTATTGAAGCAGCAAAGATCCACGGACAAAGCTGCTGCAATGTTAGAGTTGCTGAAAATGTTTAAGGCTCCAGAATCTATTCAAACTGCAAAAACCTAATGTATGTGAAGTTGATTTGCAGGAGGAGCTGAAATATTTAAGAAGATGGTAGTTGGCAGCAAATAACAAATGAAACCAAGGCACAAAGAACTGAAAATGGCAGAACAATGTTCTAAAGTAAAATTTTGTTTCTGCAGCTTTAATGCCAAGGTGAAGTTTGGTGGAGCTATGGCATGAAAGCTGAAAATGCAATCAAATGAAATTTGCTAAATGATGCTGCAACATGACTGCACAGTAGCTGATAGCAGCGTGGAGCTTCACATGGCAACAAGAGATGACAGAAAACTTCATCATTTTAGTCAATGGTTTAGGTAGTTAATAATTATTGTATCATGTAAAAAAATATTATTATTTTATGTGTAGCCTTTCTCTATAAAAAGGAATGAAGAAATTGAAGAAAATTGAGAGAGAGAAAGCATGGTTTTTCCTCTCCGGTTGGGTGAATGTTTGCACCCTTCCGTGTTTATGGCTTTATGTTCTATGTTATGTTGTGTTGATTTTGCTATAAATAGCAGAATATCAATGGAAGAAAATGGGTTCTAACCTCACCAAAGAGGGAACTCCGGGTGTCTCTCCTTCTCCTCCAAGTCATCTCTTAATGTCCCTTTTCTCCCTCCTTCTTACCACCCCTTCAACATTCTCCTTTATGTTTGTAGAGGCTATAATTTATTCATTCTTTTAGTTTTTGCATAGATATACTATATTTCGATTCACAATTTACTTCATTAATTCTATTTGTATGGATTATATAGGAAACATATAATAAAATAACTTTGATTCTTTTGACATGGATAGTTCAACATGTTTAATTTTTGCTTGAATGTAATCAAAAGCAATATCAAAAATCAATATGCAACATGCTGCAAAGATGAATAAGTTATTATTATAACATTCGATAAGCACTCTCCAACTACCGAAGCAACATGAATCTCAGGAGTATGTGGAGAAAAGGTACCTTGGTGCCCAATGTGAAGAAGTTTTGAACCCTTTGTTGAATCAAATAATGTCAGTTACCCTTATTCTTGCAAATCAAAAGAAAAGAAAAAAGGTACCCTTATTCTTATCAAACGCAGCAACCTAAATAAAAATCAATTGACAAGGGGAAACGATTTCACATATTTATGTGACAGAGTAATGCTCTGATTTCAGTGAACAAATTGAATCCTAAATACTATGTGTACCTTGAATGGAAAGATATTTAGCCGTTTAAGTCCCAAAACTGAGCTTAATATATACCTTGTTCCGTGATCAAGCATCATGTGAATCTCTTTTCTCGAGTTTGTTACAGAATATTCTCTCTTGATTATGTCCACATTGCTATGATTATATTCAGATTATAATTGATTGACATAATTAGATTAATTGATTTTGTACCACAAAATATTCTTTTGTACATGCCTATAAATAGGCACTTTATATATTCAAATGAATCAAGAAAAGTATTTTCTTCATATTTTTCTCTCCTGCTTATTTCCTCACATGGTATCAGAGCACAGTGGGCTCTTTTATTTCTTTAAGATTTTGTGTTTTTAATTCTCTACATCAGCAGCGTTTCGTGCCAACCACCATCACTTGTTTCAATCACATTCTCAGACCAACACCGTTTCCAGTGGTGTTTGTTCGATCGTGTTCTACTTGTTCCGATCGTGTTCCTCTTTGCAAAATTAGTTTCAGATTTTACTGATGTGATTGCTACTGTTTCTCCTACGGGTTCCTCTAATCTTTCACCCATATTTGGCTGTCGTAATTGCTGTTGTGTGTCTGAAATTCTCGTTGTGATTGTTGCTGTTTCTCCTGCATTATTTTCTATGAGTTTTCTCTAATCTTTCACAGAGATTTTTCGGAGTTGCATATCGACCATATATCAGCCGAAATTTTTTCTGTACAAAGATTTTTCGCTCCCATCTTTTCTGATGTTCCACTTCGACTCAGTGTTCTGCTTGGTTAGATTTTCTTTTCTTACAGCATATCCTTTTTTTTATTTAATTATGGAGAAATCTAATATTTCGCAACCAATTTCAACCATTCTCAATGGTTCAAATTATGTACTGTGGGCTCAAAGTATGCGTAGTTTCTTGAAAGGTCAAAAATTATGGCGGTATATTACTGGTGACATTACACTTCCACAGAAAATTACTGATGAGATAGATAAGAAGTATGTTGACCGTCTGGAGGATTGGGATAGCAAAAATCATCAGATCATCACTTGGTATCATCATATCATCACTTGGTTTCGTAACACCTCAATTCCCTCCATTCACCTTCAGTTTGGACGGTATGAAACAGCTAAGGAAGTGTGGGATTTGCTTGCAGCCAGGTATACCACCTCTAATTTATCCAGTCAATATCAATTGTGGGAAGAGTTACACAATTTGAAACAAGAACATGGAAAGTCCATTATTAGTTTTTATGCTAAGATGGAGGCTATTTGGGATCAGCTTGCTCTCTCAGAACCAACCTTCAATAACACTGTTGATATTAGGAAGTACATTAAGTATCGTGATAAAATGAGGTTAATTCAATTTCTTATGGCACTTACTGATGATTTTGAACCATGCAGAGCCTCTTTATTGCATCAGTCTCTTTTACCTATCTTGGATAGTGCTCTCTCACGATTATTATCTAATGAAACTCGTTTAGGCTCACTTAAGCCTAAACGAGATACTACTGTGGCTGCAACTATCAACAAGTTTCCTTCGAGTAAGAGAGGACAAAAGTATTGTCAGCACTATAACAAGTACGGACATGCTCTATATGAATGCAATTTAGTAGAATGTCATAAATGCAAGCAGAAAGGCCATATTGCGCCTAATTGTACTACTTCACTACCTCAGAGATCTAATCAGTGGAAGACCCAATCAAAGCCTGATCAGTCTTCCTAGCCTGTGGTTGTTGCAGCTGCTACCAATGGGGATACCTTAGTCCATCCTTCGATTGGTAATCTAGAAACCCTTCTTAGACAGATGGTATCATCTTCCTCTACATCTATTGCCTTGCCTACCATCCCAGGTAAAGTTTCTTGGATTTTTTACTCGGGTTGTTGTAATCATATGACCTCAAACTCTACACTTTTTTCTACATTAATTGCTAATACCACCGCACCTCTTATCCATACTGCTGATGTTTCACAAATGCAAGTTAGTTAATATGGTCAAGTTTCTACTTCTACCCTTACCTTACCAAACACTTTCTTGATACCAAAACTTACTTTCAATCTTATTTTTGTGGGACAACCGTGTGAACTTGGTCTTGAACTAATATTCTCTACTCATGGTTGTCATGTGCAGAATCCACAGGCAGGACAAATTCTTGGGATAGGCCATAAAGTTGGACGTTTGTTTGAGCTCACCTTCTTGCACATCCCTTCTAGTTACGTTTCCCAGTTGTGTGCCGTCTCAACATCTTCCTCCTTGCACTTGTGGCATCTTCGTCTTGGTCATGCCTCTATTAGTAAACTTCGTCCTTTAATTCAAAATGGGTCTTTAGGTTCTATTAAAGAAGAGTCTTTACATTGTGTCTCGTGTCAAGTTGCTAAATAGCCTGCTTTATCTTTTAATAAAAGTGATTCCATTTCACTTGCACCTTTTGATTTAGTACATTCTGACATATGGGGGCCATCTCCCACTCCTACCATGGGTGGTTCAAAATATTTTGTGTTATTTATTGATGATCATTCTCACTTCACTTGGCTATATTTGATGAAAAAACGCTCATAATTACCTCAAATTTATGTTGAGTTTGCTAATATGATCAAGGCTCAATTCTCTAAAACTATCAAGGTCTTGAGAATTGATAATGCTCTTGAATATCTTGATTCTAAATTTCAGTCTTTTCTTAAAGAGCAGGGCACGATACAACAAAGATCTTGTCCATATACCTCTCAACAAAATGGGCGGGTTGAGTGAAAACATCGTCATATTTTGGACTTAGTTCATGCTCTCTTGATTTCCTCTTCATGTCCTGAGCGTTTTTGGGGTGAAGCTGTACTTACAGCTGTCTATGTCATAAATTGAGTCCCCTTCATCGTCACACAAAATAAATCTCCTTATGAGTGTCTCTACGGTATTCTTCCTGCCTATGATCTTCTTAAAATTTTTGGTTGTGCTTGTTTTGTTCTTTTACCTTCTCATGAACATCACAAGTTAGAGCCTCGAGCTCGACTTTGTTGTTTTATGGGGTATGGGATACAACATAAAGGTTCTTGTTGTTGGGACCCAGTATCATAAAAACTTCGTGTCTCTCGTCATGTTGTTTTTTGAGAACACACTATGTTTGCTTCTCTTTTTGAATTCAAGGTGTCTTCTTCTCATCAACCTTCTATCTTCAATTCTTCACTAATCCATCCCTTGAGTTATTTCCTAATGATGATGCAGGGTCTCCTAATGAGCTTTCAAATGATCAAACTTCCACGGTTCCTGTTTCAAAAGATGTCTCTTCTGTGGATATTGCACTTGGAACAAATGAGATTGAAAATCCACCAGTTACTTCCTCTTCTAGTCATTATACGCAGGTAAGAAATCCACCTACATATCTTCAAGATTATCATTGTTTTTTCGCACTCACCTCTTTACATGAACCTCAGTCCTGCAAGGAAGCTTCTTTAGATCCTTTATGGCAGCAAGTTATGAAAGAGGAATTACAAGCTTTGGAAAAGACAGGTACTTGGGACTTGGTTGATCTTCCTACTGATAAGACTCTTGTTGGATGCAAGTGGGTATACAAGATCAAAACTCATTCTGATGGATCTGTGGAGTGCTATAAGACACGTCTGGTGGCAAAGGGTTTTACGAAGGAATATGGCATTAACTATGAGGAGACCTTTGCTCTTATTGCTCGTCTTACCACAGTACATATTTTACTAGCTATTGCTGCTATATGTAAATGGAAGCTGTTTCAGATGGATGTGAAGAATGCCTTTCTTAATGGTGATTTGGAATACAAGGTTTATATGAAATCACCTCCTGGACTTACTCCTCCTTCGAATAAGGTATGTCGATTGCGACGAGCCTTGTATGGTTTAAAGTAGTCTCCTCGAGCTTGGTTTGCAAAATTCAGTTCTATTGTAAGTGAGTTTGGTTTCATCTCTAGTCCACATGATATAGCTTTATTTGTCCGTAAATCTTCTCAGGGAATGGTTCTCTTACTCATATATGTTGATGATATGATTATCACTAGAGATGATGTTTCAGGGATTGATGAGCTTAAGCAATTTCTTAGCCACAAATTTGAGATGAAAGACCTTGGCTCTTTGAGTTATTTTTTGGGACTTGAAGTTACATCCTCAGATGCTGGTTATCTTCTTTCTCAAATGAAATATGCATCAGATCTCATATCTAAAATCGATCTCACTGATAGTAAGAATGTCTCCACACCTCTTGAACCGAATGTTAAGCTCACACCATTAGATGGTTCTCCACTCCCTGACCCTACTCGTTATCGGCAATTGGTTGGTAGTTTTACTATGACACACCCAGACATAGCATATGCAGTTCATGTTGTTAGTTAGTTTATGGCTGCTCCTCGCTCCACTTATTATGTCGTTGTACTTCGTATTATTCACTATGTTAAAGGAACACTATTTCATGGACTTCACTTCTCAGCTCATTCCTCCCTTGTCCTTCATGCATATTCAGACGCTGATTGGGCTGGTGATCTTACAGATCGAAGATCCACTATTGGCTATTGTCTCTTTCTTGGTAACTCTCTTATTTCATGGCATAGTAAGAAACAAGCTATTCCATCTCACTCTAGTACTGAGGCTGAATACAGAGCTTTGGGTGACACTACTTCA